CGCATAGAATAATCGAACCCTCGAGGACGAAAACATGTATACTTGTACCAAGTAATCAAAGGAGTATCTTTTACCATCAAAACGCTTCGCGCTTCAAAGAAGTTTGCTATTTTTACAAGAAACGGCCCCGGGGCCAGAAATTTCCCGAACACTCGGGAACTGACATCAAAAACTCAAAACCGTAAGACCTCCGGGCAGGAAATTTTGAGCTCGTAAGCCTTCAATGAGGCAACATCAAGTTTACAAAGAACGACTCCAGAGCCAAAAGCATTTGATGTCTCGGGGACTGCCGCCGACTGTCACCCATCGAGCTATCAAAAACTCGAGGCTATAAGACCCCAAGCGGGCAACCTCGAGCCCGAAAAACCTCCAGAAGCCAATATCGAATCTGTAAGACCTCAAGCAAGGCATGAATTATACTTGTACCAAGTAACCTATCTGTAAGACCTCAAGCAACGCATGAATTATACTTGTACCAAGTAACCTATCTGTAAGACCTCAAGCAAGGCATGAATTATACTTGTACCAAGTAACCTATCTGTAAGTCCTCAAGCAAGGCATGACTTATATTTGTGCCAAGTAACCTATCTGTAAGACCTCAAGTAAGGCATGTTTAAATTCATAAGACCTTACAAAAGGCATAATCCTGATCCTAAAGTCAAGTCTATATATTCGAACATGTAAGACCCCTAAAAGGACATACCCTCGATACAGACGCCGGGGCTACCTCACTCGGGGACTAAAAGGCTATGGCCAACACAATGACTACAGTCGTAAGGCTCCGGCCAAACTAACGCGACTCAGGGATGCCCGACCGTCGCCATAAAATTACAGGCGCCAGCCTATATTAGAGGTCGTACCGACCCAAGGCGTAAGAGCCCAAGCACCAGCCCATATTAGAGGTCGTACCGACCCAAGGCGTAAGAGCCCAAACGCCAGCCCATATTTGAGGTCGTACTGACCCAAGGCGTAAGAGCCCAAGCGCCAGCCCATATTAGAGGTCGTGCCGACCCAGCGCGTAAAAGCCCAAGCGCCAGCCCATATTAGAGGTCGTATTGACCCAAGGCGTAAGAGCCCAAGCGCCAGCCCATATTAGAGGTCGTACCGACCCAAGGCATAAAAGCCCAAGCGCCAGCCCATATTAGAGGTCGTGCCGACCCAACACGTAAGAGCCTAAGAGCTAGCTTAAAATTCAAAAACCTAAGGGTCGATGAGCTCGAGTCGAAACCCGACTCGAAGACTGAGCCTGAAACGATTAGCTAAAAAATGCCTAAGGGCAAATGCGTAAGAGCATACGGGCCAGCCCAACTAGCCCCAGGGCCGATTTGTAAACCTAAGGGTTTTTCCTCGAAGTTCAATTCATCTGGTTAATCATTGACAAGCTTCAAAATCAAAACAAAAGGCAGACATACACAAGCAAGCAACGGGAAATTCATGAAAGAGGAAAACCGAAAGGCTTCTTTTTATATGTATATGTGAAATAATACAAGGCTTCATTTACAATGTTCTCTAAGAGCATAGTACGCAGAATCAGAAAGGAAAAGCCTAGTCTACTTTCCCCTCGGGGACTACGGCTCCATCGGCCTCTTCCTCATTATCTTCGGCATCGGATACGAGGAACTTGGCATCGTGTTCATCTGCCTTGGCCTGCTCTATCTCTTCCGAGAGATCGAAGCCCCTAGTGTGGATCTCCTCGAGGGTTTCCCTCCGGGATTTGCACCGGGCATATTATTGCTTCTGCTCTCCCAATCGGAAGCCCCTCCAACTCAACTCGAGCATTGGCAACGTCTTTTAAATAGACGGCCACCTTCTTATCATCCTTAGCTCGAATCTCTTCAGCTTCAACTCGGGCATCCACGACCTCGACCTTCATCTTCAAAAGGTCAGACTCGAGCCCTACAATCCTGCTCGTCTGGACCGAGCTGTTTTCACGAGCATTCCGGAGTTGCACCTCGAGGGCAGAAACCTTGGCCAAAGCATTCTTCTTGGCTGCAACTTGGGCATCTATCTAAGCCTTTAGCTCATTACACTCATACTTGGCCTGACCAACTTCACCCTAAAGGCATTCCAGGTCCTCCGCCTTACTCTGCAACTGAAACATCAAAATATTAATCTCCGAGGATAGAAGAGAAAACGTGCATCCCCTCGAAACAAAGGTTACCTGTCTCTCGAGGTGGTATTCATAGTCTAGGCTTCGAGTCATTTCGTACCGAAGATATATCAACTCCTTTGCCTTTTTATCACAAAGAAGCCCGAGGGATTTCTCCCGTCCAAGGCTTTTCGCAACCGGGCTTCACGGGGGAGCAGCTTGGACTTGAGCTTGTCAAAGGCCTATGAAAAAGAAGCTTAGTGAAAAAAAGGAAAATGCAAAACCGAAAAACCAACAGAGTCAACCAGAACTCACCACAGAATAGAGCCGCTGAGCCTCCCAAAAGTTGAGCGTACATCTACTGGCCTGATCTCATCGGCCCCAGTCGAACCGCTCTCGGCAGGGATTTGATCGCTCGAGACCCCGCTTGATTTATGCATCCCCTGGCCTCGAACATCCCTCGAAGTACCTTCGACGGGAGAAGAGGACGGCGGCAGAGAATCTACGCCCCTCGAAGTACTTTCGACGGGAGAAGAGGACTACGACAGAACATCTATATCCCTCGAAGTACCTTCAACGGGAGAAGAACACGGCGGCAGAACATCTGCATCCCTCGAAGTACCTTCGACGGGAGAAGACGACGGCAGCAGAACATCTGCATACCTCGAAGTACCTTCGACGGGAGAAGAAGACGGTGGCGAAAAAGGAGCCACTCCTCCGAGGCCAGAAATCTCGGGTATTGCAGGCTCAGCTGCCCTAGGAGGCCTCTCGGCTCGAGCCATCGAGGTGTGGCTGCTCCCTTCTGTTGCACTAATGTCTACACGATGGCCGATAGGTACATGATCCACCTCAATGGTTGCATCTCCTTTTCGCCTCCGGGCAGACCCTGCCTCACTATAAATCTCCTCGCCCGCCGAGGACTCCTTACGCTTGTTATCGCTCTTCGGCCCCGAAGCCAATGGTCCTCCATCCTCTCCGAGAGGGCCTGGTCTCACCTCGGAAAATTCTCCAACGCCTACAGTAAAGAAGTTAGGAAATACAGAGGGAAATATTCCTTAAAGAAAATAATCGTACGGTACTCACCATGGTGTTTTGCCTCCCATCTACCCTTCGACAGGTCTCACCACTTACGTTCGTCGTAGATCGAGCAAGCTGCCAGTTTCCGAGTCTAATCCTCCAAATCAGGGACCTCGTATGGAAACCACAGGATTGCTGCGGAAAGGGAAAGAAAACACCTTTACGGAGTCTACCTCCACTATGAACAAAAATGTCAAAAGCACAAGTGTACCACTTACGTGTGAAATTCCATTTCTTAGGGAATGGCAGGAACTCTACGGGAATAATATCAACAGTCCGCACTTGGACAAATCGGCTCATCCACCCCCGGGCCCCGTCTTCTTCATTACTGGCAACAATGGACCGGGTGGATTGACGTCGTAGAGTAATCAGGCCTCGGTAATGCAAGGGTCGATACAATCTAATAAGATGGCTGAGGGTGAACTCGAGCCCGGCTTTATCTGCGAAGAACCTTATCATCAACACTATCCTCCAAAACGACGGGTGAACCTGCGCCAGGGTAACCCGATATCTTTTACAACACTCGAGCACGACTCTATCAAGAGGGCCTAATGTAAAGGGGTACGTGTATATGTTCAAAAACCCCTCTACATGAGCCATGATGTTCTTTTCCAAGGAAGGTACCTGCAGTACTGCCTTTTCTCCCCATCCCAGTCTCTCCTAACTGCCTCAAGGTGTTCCTCTCCTATTGATGAGCTGAACCTCAACGCATGCTCCCAATGGCCCTGGACATTGGGAGGTCTCTCTAACGTAAAGTCCCTCCTCAAGGCAAAGCATCTCGAGGGTAGCTCACCGGACGCCGTCGGTGTACCACTGACCGGGCGGGAAACGGAGTCGGAACTCTCCTCTTCTTGGTGAACGAATTTGGGCGTAGCATCCATAACTATGGTGAAGCAAGGGAAGGGAGATGAAAACTTAGGCGAGCAAGCGCTCGTTCGATTATTAAGCCCAAGGTCTACCCGAGTTCGAGCCAGTTCTCGCTCGCGGACTATTCATAAAGCCTCAGGGCTATCTTCGCTTCAAGTTTGATTTGAATGCTCTCTCGATTATTTTCGCCCAAGGGCCACCCGAGTTAGAGCGTACCCTCGCTCAGGGACTATTTGTAAAGGCCTAAGGGCTATCTTTATTTTCCGATGATCATGCAAACTCTCCCTCGAGGACAATCAACGAGGCCTAAAAAGGCTAAGCTCTCAAGAAAATCTAGACTCCGTTCTCACTCAATTCGGACTCAAAGTCCCGGCGACCTAAGTTTGTAATCCAGGCTTAGTCCCAGGGATGACAAAGAG